TATAAGAGTGCTAACAATTAAGATCTTTCAATTTATCATGTTAGGTTTTGCCTGCTCATGAATTTAAATAATAGTTAGAAAGATTGTCCTATTCGATAATCTCTAATCTCACATGTGAATTGTCAGTTTCTTTTGGTTATATTGTAGTGATTCTAAATATATGTGCGAGAATAAAGAATAATTCAGGAATAAATACCTAACTATTTAAAGTCAGACATCATTTTTATAGCAGACCTTTTTTTCTCGAGTGAATGTTCGGTTTGATTTTGAAAACATGAATATGATTAATAGCAGGAAATTACCGTAGAAATGTTTCCATGTGTAATATACCTCCCACATATTGGAAATCACATAAAACTCTCCCACTTGAAATCTTTTCTTCGAAAATTTTCTACCGTCTAATTCTGTTAGTTTAACCGTTAAAAATAGTAAAAACTTTAAAAATTGAAAAGGAATAACTGCAGTTGTGATTCCAAACTTTTTATTTTTTACAAATTAATCAAAAAATTATATTTATACCGCCCACGATCCAAAATCTTTAAAATTTTATATTTTTCCCCACACTGAACACATCCTAAACCCACTTCTTCGAGGTCCCCACTCCCCTCCCCTCCCCAACCAAACAAAAAACGTATCAAATCTTCTTCTTCTTCTTCTTCCTATTACTTATATTTTTGGACATTGTTATTTAAAATTGTTATTTATTTAGTCAACCAAAATGTGCTTCCGGAATTCTTTTATCAGCAAAAGGAAATTTAAATTTGTTTTATAATGCTCTCTTATTCTATTAATTATTATATATCAAAGGCGTTCTCTTATTGGATTGACCACAAGTAAAGAGTAAGCATTTCATTAGAAAACTGAGATAGAATAACAAAAATGACGAATCGTATTGGAAAACAAGTCATAAACGAGACGGTAGCTTTATGCAGTAGCAGTAATGTACTCAATTGCCTGTTTGCATATATGCTTCAGCCTTCAGGTCCATACACCTGTAATTTTAAATAAATAATCTGTAGATAAATTTCTTGCTTCTGGGTTTCATTGATTTATAGATATTCTTCAATTCTTTAGGTAAATTAACTAATGGGTCAGCGTTTTTCAGTTTTTGCAGGTTTTTTTTTTTGGTTTTGCGTGGGATGTGGTAGGTTGGGGGAAGAATAAGAAATGGGTGGAAGTAGGGAAAAAGATAAAAGTTTTGGTGTAATGACTTGGAATTGTAGATGGTACAAATAAAAGATTTGGTGTAATTTATAAAAAAATAAAAGGATTGGACTCACAACTACAATTATTCATTTTAAATTTTGACAATTTTTGCTTTTTTAATGGTTGAACTAACGAAATTGGACAGTAAGGAGCTTTTCGTACAAAAAATATTGCGTTTCAAACAAAAAGTTTTGAATATGGGGTTTTCTGTGATTTTCAACATGTAGGGAGTATATTACACGTAAAAACATTTTTATGAGGATTTTCTATTATTAATCCAATTTAAATACGTACTATATTATGATGCCTTGAAGATGCTTGAAATGAATTGAGTCCAAATCCATGTCAATTCTCACACCATCATTTTGGATAATTTTAGTGATTAGTTGATAGAAAAATATGTGATGAGATGCCATTAAAAGCTGTGGTTGAGTTAGGAATTAATAAATTTTTTTTTGGTCGAATTTTAGTGGAACCAGGGAGACTACTGACCCCTCCATCGATAAAAGTGGAGGAAATTTATTAATTATATTTATCAATTTAACATGTTTTTAGTGTTTGACAACGAGAAATTAGCACATAACATCCCCATATTTCATTGTTATTGTGAAAAACGTCTTTACTTTTCATTTTTTTAGCATTTTCACCCTTCATTGCACAAAAGATCATTTTCACCTATTTTCTCAATCAAAAATTATGAAATGACTAATATATCACTCTCTTTAAATAAAACAAAAGAAAAAGAAAAACATAATTACAATCACAGTCCCAATTTCTTTTTAAGGCCCTATTTGGTATACATTATTTTTTTCATTCTCATTCTTCTACTCATTTTCTATCACACATTTTTCAATAAAATAGTATTTTCCATCACATCAATAACTTTTCCTTTATTTTTAACTACACATTCTCCATCAATTNCCCATTAAAATTTTCATTCTCATTCTTCTACTCATTTTCAACCACACATTCTTCAATAAAATAATATTTTCCATCACATCAATAACTTTTCCTTCTTTTTCAACCACACATTCTCCATCAATCTACTATTCGATAATACATTCTTTCAAAAGAACGTGTCCCAAACACAATCTAAAAGTCACAAATAAGTAATAAATAAATTATTAAAAAGGTAATTAACAATTATATCTACCTTTCACGATTATTGCAAAAAAGGTTCCAGCCTCTTATTTTTTTGGCATTTCACCATTAATTACACATTTAATTACGCAAACCATCATTTCTATCAATTTTCATTCAATTTTTCAAAAAAAAATTGTGAAATGACGAATATACCCTCGCAAAACATATGCCTTATCTTTTTTTCCCTTTAATAATATCCAATACTCTGCACCTCCACAGACATGCCATGAAAGTGTAGCGCATTTGTAAATAACCTAACACTCAAGTTTCAGAGTCCGTACATTCTTGATCTTCTGAAGGATTGTTGAGGGCAACGGAAGATGCTATAGCATTTCCTATATCCTGTAGTGCGTCGGGTGACAAATTCAGAGATGCTGCCTCATCTATTTCATCCTGTGAAGCATCATTTGACAAGTTGGTGACTATAACAACTTCTTCAGTGCTGTCCAGGCTACCAGAATCATGCTGTTCAGGAGGTACTGCTTCAAATCTCAACGAAAAACAGGTGGTTTCTCTTTCACGAACTGGTGTTCTGGAGTATGCTGCTGGTTGAATCGGCCTGGAAGCTTGGAGGAACTCTTATAACATCCTTCGCAGAGGTCAAAGCCTATTTTCTCAACACAGTCTTTGCATTTGTATCGTTCCCCAAAAATAGGATACATCTGCATTAAATTTCAAGTTATTCTGAAATTAGTTCCACAGGGAAAAGATAAAAACATATACTACATGCTTCGTATTTGCAAGATTGTATACAATCCGGCTCTGATGCATGAATTCTGCCTTGTGGCAAAGGCAAACCAGGGGAACTCTTCATTTTTCTATAAAAACCTGTATATTGCATAGGGAAAGCAGTATCTTATTGAAAAAAAATAATAATAATAAATAAAAATTATTATAATTAAAAAAAACCTAAAACGAGGCTTCCCAACTAATCTCTTAAGATGAACCAACAGAACACCCTAATGGTTGTTTTCTTCTAAACTTGTGCCCATTACCTTAAATTCTAGAAGCAGGCCCTTGACACTTCACACAGTGTTTGTTAATCAAGTAGTACATGTAATCAATAGAGACAGGAAAAAATGAAAAACAAAGCAAGTTTATTCTTTATATATTGTTACCCATGCAAATTAAAAAGAATTATCTTTATCATAAAATCTTGATCTAGAATCGAAATGAGAATTTTAATAGAGAGATAGGTTTTTGGTCCTAGGCATATAGATGGGGTAAAAGATGGAGACTTTGCAACTTGTGATTTAAAAGGGAAGATATGGAAATTGAAAGTGAGGTTGTTGCACCTAACAGAGGTTGTAATCATGATTGTGGCAGAGAAGGTTACGACCATGGCTGCAGCAGTTGTGGAAATCAGGAATACAGTGGTAGCAGCAGTAGAAGCCATGAAAGGAAAAAAATGCTTGAAGTGATGAAATACTGCTAAAAGAAGAAACTGACGAACAAAAGAAATCAAAATGCAAACCAAATTGTTACTGAAGTGTACCAAACTTTGATGTTCTGGGATTTGTAAACAATTTTTTGGATAACCGTGGATGTTCGAGCCAGTTTGCGCGCACCTCGACTAACTCCACGGACCCCTGAAGTTTACGGCCGAATACTCACCTCAGTGGCCTGAGGGGACTCAAATTGGTGACCATTGAAGAGCAAACCCAAAGTCTGACCAATTGAGCAACCTCTCAAGGTTCTGGGATTTGTAAAATTTGGAAACTTGATTCTCAGATTTCTATAGTGGAGAAATTATAACTCAGAAAAAGAGATGATACCTTTTTCACATAGTTTTGCATTTGAAAAAGAGATGAAATATTTAGGGAAAGAAAGAATATCTCTAATCTTTATTAAGTACTAGGTGATAGAACCAATCTAAAGAAAAAACTTGTAAAAACACAAACATGGAAAATATAATATCACTAAGCCATTTTTTTTATTTTTTGATGACTCAGGTGTCCGAGATTCGTCCGACTAATCTTGAATAGTGCCAGCCTTTCCCCCTGGTTCGCCACCCGGGGTAAATCCGATGCGGTCACAGCTTATACACACTTGGGCCGAACATTCGAGAAGCGGTTTTGCTCCCTGTGGATTACTAAGCCATTTTTCTTCAGACATTACCTTGTGAATGGCAAGTTAAATAGAAAAGAGAGAAAAAAAGATAATCATATTACCCCACACCAATCACAACCAACTCCAGGGTGAAACTTTGGCCCATGGCCAGACAGCCATGATAAATAAGCATTTCTAGGCAACGATGAACGCTTCGTCACTTGCTCCCGCTTTCCAGTGGTACCTGATGGCAATAGTAAAGTATAAAAGGAGAAAGCCAAACATATAGTGATATTGATTTAACATCGAAATCAGATGACAGTTATATACGGG